ATTATAAATGAGGGAATGAGTGTCAAGAAGAGGAAAATCCAGAAATGTAATGGTTCCACTACTTCACAATAGGAAACAGCTTGAAGATCCTTTGAAGGCTGAAGTATAGCATCAGTTAATAATGACACTCTGTGGCCACCAGCGCAGATCAAAGCATCTGCTATCCCATTGAGAGGCCCTTGAAATCTTTGCCTACAGAAATGGTCATAAATATTAAATGTTAATTACAGAAATATTTACTGTCATTTTTCTTCCAAATCTCAATTGCTTAAACTGTTCCGTTGTTACTGTTTATTTTATTTTGCTATTCCTGTAACTTTCAAACCAACATTTGAAACCACGCTATGGAAAATCTTTCAAAGAATAAAAAGTAATAGTGCCAATCTTAAAAATGACCTGTAGAAAAAAGAGGATCAGCTATGGTGTGTTTTTTTTTTTTTTAAACGCTCATTAAAAAGTAACTCAGATCAGCTTCCATTAAAAAGTGTTAAATCTTTAAAGCAGAATCTGCAGGATCAAACACTGGCTTTTACTGGCTATGCTGGTAGACAGAAACTTACATAATCTTTCTCTTTCCTTCGCTCCTTTTCTGGTGTTGTCTCCCAGTGCAGGGTCTGCTTTTTTTCCCAGATCAGTCAAGTGTTGATCCATTGGTTATGACAGGAACTGATTGATCAGTTTATCACCTAAGAATGTCATAGGCTGCAAAAGAGAGACTGCCCCAAAATCACCCAACTAGTTTTCATGCCTAAAACAGACTAGAACTCACAGTTTCCTAATTCCTAGTCTCAACTAAATGGTGGGAGAAGGATCCTAGAATGGAATAGGGTAGAAATTTTGGTAGAAGAGATGAGTCAGGAAGGAAAGAGGGGACAAACAATTTTTCGGTCAAAAGTCTACTAGGTATGAAGCAGGTGAAATGAAGGCACTGTTTCATGTTAGATAGACCATGATAGAAGGATTTGGAGAGGCGTGTTGTAAGGTGCATGACAGGGCTTCCAATGATTACTAGAATAAGCAAAGTTAAGTAGTAATCTTTTTGATGTCCTTGTTTAAGATTTTTATTGGGTAAAAACAGCACTTTGAATGGGGTTTTGCGTTACTGCTAAAAAATTAGTGGGAGACGTAGTAGTGTACCCCATTTTTTTCTGTATCTATATACATATAAAATGGAATTCCCCAGGCTAGCAATTAGTGGTATTTAGCAAGCTTTGCAAATTATATCATTGAATTGTGAACTCTTCCACACTCTCTACCCGTGCTAAGCAAGAGTTACTTAACAATCTACTGCAATTTGAAAGTAATCACTTTTGCTTCTTCAACTCGTAGGTAATTACTCTCATATCAAACCTTTGCTACTTACAACAATTAAAATAAAGAGAAGGATATGATCTCTGTAATGTGATCCCTGTAGAAGGGAGAGCGGGTAGCCCCATCCTAGAAACAATGTCTCGTGTACCAATACCTTTGAGCGAGCATTGTCTGGCTTCTTCAGTTATTGATAAGATATGTCACCAGACCATCTTCTCATGGTGCATGCTGGAGACAATGCATTACTTAAACAATATATTTGGCAGTAAGTTAATTAGCTTAGTTGTAACCAAGTCATGGATAAGGTGCACTACCAAGCAATCACCAAGTATTTTACTGTTGTAAAAAGTATATAGGTGGCAAAATACTACAAATACGAAGAACTTCAACATTGAGTGCCACTCAGATGCCAGATAGCTCCAGAAGTTCTGTCCATTGTCATTTTAAGCCAAAGGGTTGTAGTTTGGTGTATCTTCCTTTTTCTATATAACATTTTTAGTATTTACTAAAAAAAAAAAATCCCTGTTTTGCATTTGTCATGATTTGAGCCTATCGTATTGTCTTCCAATCCCAGTTCTGATTGGCTACCTGCTGGGTATCAGTATCAACACAATAAGCCAAGACACAACTTGTATATTAATGAAACTGATACCAAGATGACATGATTCTTAAATTTACATGGAGAGCAATTGGAAGGCTACATTTTGCATCTGAATGGAGACTGGTTTCTGAATGCAGAGAGGAATACGATGCATATCTAATTGTTTCACTTCATTTTTGCTCTGAAAAATGTATCTCTGAGACTGAGATGAAATAACTTTCCTCTGTGTCTGGCTTGAAATCTCAACTTACATTTTCAATGCCTAATCTAAGCAGTTTATGCAGTACAACGTATCAGTTAACATAGATACAGATTCTAAACAATTCTGCTACTGTACTCCATGGGCCAGTGGAAGAGGTACTTATGAAGCACCTATTGTAAATTTGTCACGGAGCATTAATTTGAGCAGTTCTTGGGCCTGTGAAATAATGTAGTCACATTTGTTGGCCTTTTCGACAAAGACTGTTGGTATCAAGAGTTGTATTTAGAAGGCCACATAAATATTCATATTGAATATTGAATGTATCTACTCTTCTTTCATTGTACTTCTTGTAATTCCCAGATTACTCTTATTTATTCCTGATATCACTTCAGGTCATATGAATATGTCACTGTTGCAGAACAATTGTGCAAAAAGCCACTGTCCCATAACCCAGTATTTTCACCACCCAGATCATTTAAAAAAATCAGCCAAAGTTCTGTCTTCTTCCTCTAGCTGATTTTAGGGGAAAGGAAGATGCTGAGTGCAGTGATAGTTTTGCTTCTAAGCTTGTCTGAATTCTTTTTAAAAGAAAGCAAAAAAAAAATGGGGAAAGCAGTCGTCTTGATTCCTTGTAAGGGGACGTAAGACTTTGGGGAGAAAGGATCATGGCAAAAAATGGCAACAAGCATATGCAAAAGAAATAATTAAAAATATATGTGAGGAGGCTCAGGTTACTACTGTAAATGAAGCAAAGTCATACTGATCTCCACCAGCAGCTTGTGAAAATGCTTCTCTTCCTAAAAATAAAATTACAGGACGCAATTCAGATCTCCAACCTGTGATATAGAGGAGACATTTTTATTTAGCCATAATTTCTTAACTGGAAACAGAAAGAGGGATGTCATTTTTCTTCAATTCCTTTAATAAGACTCCCTTATTTGATGAATTTTGGTCACCACACTATAAGTAAGATGTTGAGACTCTAGAAAAAGTACAGAGAAGAGCAACCAGGATGATTAGGGGACTGGAGACTAAAACATATGAAGAACGGTTGCAGGAAGTGGGTATGGCTGGTCTAGTGAAGAGAAGGACCAGGGGAGATAGGATAGCAGTCTTCCTATATTTGAGGGGCTGTCACAGAGAGGAAGGGGTCAACCTATTTTCTAAAACACCCGAAGGCCAAACAAGGAATAATGGATGGAAACTGAACAAGGAAAGATTTAACCTGGAAATAAGGAGAAACTTTCTGACAGTGAGAATAATCAACCAATGGAACAGCTTGCCCTCAGAAGTTGTGGGAGCACCATCACTTGAGACTTTCAAGAAGAGATTGGACTCCCATCTGTCAGAAATGATGTAGGGTCTCCTGCTTGGGCAGGGGGTTGGACTAGATGGTCTGTTATTTGAGTTAGAACACACTCTTTCTCAGTTATAAATTATAGTCATTACACTTTCTCGTTCAATTATGCAGATTTTCTGTTTATTCCCTTATTTGTCTGTTTAAGTTTTCATCCTACCTTTTTTAGAGGATTGATGTAAGACATTTTGGGAACAAATTCCAGTGATTATTGAGCTGGCTGACTCCCTATCCAGCTATAGTGTGAATCTGCTGGTTGAATGCAGAAGGACAAGAGAATTGGTTCCAGAGCCTAGAAAATAAGGCAGTTTGCTTTTTATTCGCCAGATGGTTGTGATTCAAGCTAATGTAATCACAAGAAATGTCCCAGAAGAGCTAGTATGTGTGTTTTGGCATTCTTTTAGTGTCCATAGCTGTGGCATGATGTCCTTGCTACCTTCCAGTTACAGCTGGCATTAAACTGAATAGAAAGGTTTTTGAGCCTCACTCACGATTAACTGAATGGCAAACATCCATTGGAAAACCAAAGAAAGCATGCAAGAGCATAAAAATGAAGATTTAAAATGTAGAAACTTCACAGAAACTCTTTATGTTAAAAATATATAGGAGTGTCCTTGTATATAATCGGTAGCAAAAGCAGCACAAACATTTGATCCATGGTTTGCTATTAGAGTATTATAGGGAATCCTCAATTTACAACCAGAATTGGGCCTGGAATGTTGGTCATCAGTCAAGGCAGTCATTAAAAGGGCCACCATCATAACCTGACTAGAGTTTACAACTGCTTTTATGATGATAGTAAAGCAAGTCATATTAATGAGCCATGTGGTTGTTAAGTGGATCATGCCACTTCTTTTTTTGCCATTTTCTGCTGGGAAATGCCCCCAAAACCATCAAAATTCTGGCCCATGGGATGCTGCAAACTATTATAATAAATGTGAGCTGGTTACCAATATTTGAAATGTGGTCATGTGTTTGGGGTGGGTGGATGTTTTATGGTGGTTAGGAGTGCTTTACAGGCCATAAATCACCCTTTCCAGGGCCTTTGTAATTTCAAACTTGTCAAGCAAGCAGTTGTAATGCAAATTTTTCCTTCCTACAGATTCTAATCTGCTTTGTCCCATTTCCTACTCCTTCTCTCCCCCAAAACTACCCACTTTGTAAAATCTGCCTTGATATGGAGGGCTTAGAGGTACAGGAGTGAGGATTAGTTATCCCTAAGCATGTTTATTTTACTAAAAGATATATAAAATATACTGCAGTTAATTTTATGCAGTCTGTTTTTCTTAAGACAGTTTTGTGTGTTTATAATAATTATTAATGTACACAAAGTATGCATTGTGGAAGAAGCTTTAACATCAGCAATTGTCAAAATGCTTGCATTTAATCTCCAATAGAGGGAACAGTCATTGCCTTGTTGATTATAGTGTATTATGATGCTATACAATTTAGAACAAGGCAGCACATTAGGATGTCTTCTTTCACCTAAATTCCATTATAGTAACAAAATTTCTCCTGTTTTTCTCTAGCTATCCGTTTCCTATGATGTTCAGCAGCTGCAGCAAGAAGGACTTGGAAAACAGCTTGGAAAAAGGCGTGGGGATGTGTCTCTTCAACCTTCCAGAGGTTAAGGAATCATTTGGTGGCCCCAAATGTGGGAACGGCTATGTAGAAGAGGGAGAAGAATGTGATTGTGGTGAACCTGAGGTAGGAGTAACACTCTTTGTTGTAAAGGAAAGGCCAAGTTCATTTTGGAATATCCCACCATATTTTCATCTAGTTTCTTCAAATTCTTCATTGCAGTGCTCAAATGTCTAAATAAAATGGTCTAAATGCCTGTGAGCTGGCCTTTCCCTGACCTAGAGGCCATATCCAAGACCATGATATTCTACAAAGTTAACATTACCTAAAATTGTGTTTTTCAGCTTCAGCAAACATGCAGAACTCATAGCAAACATGCGGAACTCAACCCCCAGAATTCCCATGGTGATTGGGGAATTCTGGGAGCTGAAGTCCACACATACTAAAATTGTTGAAGTGGAAAACCTTGACATAAAGGATGGATGATCCATTATGCACAAGAATGTTCCCTGAGCTATATTATGCAAAGGCTATTCAGTTGCAGGCCTAGAACAGATGGCTCTTTTGCTAATATCCTGTTTTTATTTTCTATGGATGCACAAAACCATTTCCCCAAATCTTCTGATTTATTACTCTTCTCTTCAGTATAGAGTTGTTAGCATAAAGAACATGCTGGATAAGATCCCTCTGTTTAATTTATATCTTAGCTTCCATTGCCACCATGCTTGGGAGTGGGGGGAATTGTTTAGATAATCAAAACTAACTATATCCGAAGATGATGGATTTGTTTTGGTTTCTTCCCTTAATACATAATAAATTGAGAGGCACTGAAATAGCAAGAAATTACTTTAGTTTTCAATATAGTTTATTAAGTTGATTGAAGTCATAAAGATTTCCTGACAGCCCACTCATTTCTTGAGGTAAACATCTCCTGCCTGATGCTTGAAAATTCATGCTAACTCAGACCTTTCTGGTTTCTTTTCTCCATCTTATTAATATTTTTAAATAAAAGAATAACTTAATATTGTCATGAAACAGTTCAAAGTGTCCAAATCTATTACATTAATTGAAGTTACATTATTTCAGTAACTTAACCCAGGATCTACACATCGGTATAATTCAAATCCTTGAAGAGGTTGAGGCATCCTCTGTGAAGGTTCTTCTAAAACATGCATTCAAAACTAATTTTATTAATCGTTAAGTAATTCTAGGATGCATGTTTTGCTGATGGAGATCAAATATCATATTTCAAATGAACAAAACAAAAACAAAGGTATCTGGTGATCTTAGTAAGCTATTTCTTTGAAGCTGGGTCACTGTGAGGGGGCGGACTGAAACTCTGATCAAGAAACTTACAGAACTCGAGTTGGTAAAATTATTTACAAATGAAAAAGAAGGGAAGTGGACCTGAATAATTAAAAGTGACTGCTGCCCAAAAGAGATGCAATGGTATGTGGGAATATAATGGGGATGGGGAGATATGCTACCTAAGCCAGGGGTCTCCAACCTTGGCAATTTTAAGACTTGTGGACTTCAACTCCCAGAATTCCACAGCCAGCGAAGCTTCACAATCTTAAAGTTGCCAAGGTTAGAGACCTCTGACCCAGGGAACGGTCTAATAGCAGTGGTGGGATTCTTTTTTTTTTTTTACTACCGGTTCTTTGGGCGTAGCAGGGAAAGGATACTGTAAAATCTCCAGTCAGAGGTGGTATTTGCTGGTTCTCCACTACTGGTTCTCCAGAACTGGTCAGAACCTGCTGAATGCCACCTCTGTCTAATAGGGGCATAGCCAGCAGCTGCATAATGGGTGGAGAAAGAGGCTCAGTGGGGCCCCCTGGTGGTGAGAGAATTTTACTTTCAAATGGCAAGTTTATGTTACTATAGCCTTACAATGGAGTATCTGGTTGTGTTTCCTATCTGATCTATCTGAGAAAGCTGACAAGAGACACATCTTGGGTTTACTTTTTCAGCATGTTTTAAAAAAATCTCTGCTTATACAGATAGTCCTCAACTTATGACTACAGTTGAGCCCAAAATTTCTGTTTCTAAGCGAGACAGTTGTTAAGTGAATTTTCCCCCATTTTATGACTTTTCTTCCTTTTTTGTTAGATGAGTTGTTAAAGTTGTTAAATGAATCACAGCAGTTGTTAAGTTAGTAACACGGTTGTTAAGTGAAACTGGTTTCCCCATTGATTTTGCTTGTCAGAAGGTGACAAAAGGTGATCACATGACCCCAGACTATGCAACCATCATAAATATGAATCTGAATTTTGGTCACGTGACCATGGAGATGTTGCAACGGTCATAAGTTTGAAAAATGGTCATATGTCACTTTTTTCTGTGCCATTGTAACTTTGAATGGTCAATAATTGAACTGTTGTAAGTTGAGGACTAACTATAAATAACTGTGTGCAGAAGTGTTGCTAAATATTCATAAACTACTTCTCTTCTGTAAAAACTGGGTAGAATTTGCAGTGAAGATAATTTTAACTCAGGATTGGAATAATTGACTTAATGATAAAAAAGAAAATGTTGAGTGAAATGGATTTCCTTGAGAATTTATGGATTCTCTCTTGCTGGTAGTATTTATTCATGAGCTGTGGTAGTGCAGTGGTTAGATTACCATATTGCAGGCTACTTCTGCTGACTGCCAGCAGTTTGGCAGTTCGAATCTCACTGGCTCAAGGTTCATCCTTCTGAAGTCGGTAAAATGTGGACCCAGATTGTTGGGGACAATATGTCGACTCTGTAAATTGCTTAGAGAGGCCTTAAAGCACTGTGAAGCGGTATAGAAGTCTAAGTATTATTGCTATTGCTATTTTAGTAGAGACTGAACAGTCATCTGTTCAGTATGCTATTCATTGTTTTATACCTGTACTGACCTGCAAGATCATTTCAACTCCAAACATTTAAATATATTTATTTCTATATTGGTCAAGTTAATACCTACTGGAATTAGCCACAGCCCCTGCAATTACCATAATTAGGAGCAAAACATAACTTTAAAATAAAAGAATTCCATATAAAGACAATGTATACGTGACAATTAAATCAGAAAAAAGAAACAACATTTCTGCCTGTTCTTTCACTTCCTCTATGCCTTCTGCAATATCCCAATCTTCAAAAGATTCCAGAAGACTAAGTATGTCTGGGAATTGTGAAGCTTTGATCTTTTGATCTCTACCAGAGGTTCTTCCCTAGCAGCAGTGTCACCAATGAAAAACATTTATGGGCCTGCAGAATTTGCGGAAATGGGGTATTACTAACAGCTTTTCTTGAGATGCCTGAATTAAGGCAGATAATCATGGCTGGAGGAAGCCATCCTGCAAATACGTTCAAATCCAGCATATTGGGAATTTTCTATATTTCCACTTTGACCTGAAGCTGACAGTGTCAACTGAAGCTGATACTACACTGACAGACAGTGAAGTACTCAGAGTACAGATGTAAGGATTTCATCATATGCCTGTTTGGCAGATTTGTTTTTTCTTCATCAAAAATTTAAAAACTCTCTTAAAATATTTGCAGAAATACTCTGTAACTCTGAAAGCAGCCAAGGCCCAGTGGTGTATTAACCATTGTTTATTTATTTATTTATTTATTTATTTATTTATTTATTTATATTTTATTTTATTTTGTCAAGCGATTATAAGATAATAGGTGTATGTATAAACATGATTATGAATAGATGAAATGGATACTAATAAGAAAAACAAAAAGAAACAATAGGACAGGGACGGTAGGGCACCAAGCCCAAAGGGGGCACCATAAAGTTGAGAATATGGCTTCTTTTGTACAGTATGTACAAAGGAGGCGGCACCAAGATTTGTCAGTGTTTAAGGCACCAGTGAGCCTTAATCCGCCACTGCCTAGGCCTGTGTGCTTGTGAGGAAAGGAAAAAGAAGCCTTGCCCTTTTGTAATAGGCAAAGTTATTTCCTTTTGTGGATTCAGATTTCCGGGCTGGGAGAAATGCAAAATGATTTGGTCAGCTGCTTAGAAGTCAGAATCAGTTTATTAATAGGAAGGCAGGTAAGAAATCTCACAGCATTCCTAGGATTAATCTAACAAGTGAGTAGAAAAACCTCTCTTTTATACACTTCAGGTTCTTTGATTTGTAGGTATGAATCTTCGAAGACTTTGATTTGTGTGTGTTGAATTCCTGTCTCTTTGGGATCTCTTCCTGGGATCTTGGTTTTATGGTCCTGATCCTTTGTAGTTGCTTGTTTGCTATCATGTTTCCTTCCTGCCATGCCTTTTGGTTTGCTTTTCACAAGTTTTTATAACTTGCCATCTATTTGATTTCTATGGGAAAGGATCTTAGCTAGTTTGCAGGGTTTTTTCTCTGTATCTCATGCCTGTAATTTTCTCCTTCCTTTGTTGTGAAAAGTAAGCTGGCTCCAGCTATTTTAATAGCCCTACTTGACAAAGGGTGGGGGCTGTTTTCCTAGAAGAGGGGGGAATCATAACTTCCAACACTTGAATCTGCCTTCCACAGTTTAATTCTGTATATGTTGTTGATAAATAGGACTATTCTGTATATGAAGCTGGATACCCCTCTCCACAGCAACCTGCCTTGAGGTGTCTAGATTTATAGAAATTCAAAAGTTTGTGAGATCTCCTTAGAATGTTATTTGGAAAATTGTATTCTTGAAGATAAAATGCTGCATTTCTATTATCCTTCTGTGAAAGAACAAAACATTTGATTCTATTTGTAAAAGCAGGTTTCACAACTAATTTTGAATTAGATTTTTTTTGTTTGCGTATTCATCTTTCCGTTTAAGGTTAGACAACCATCAGAGGAGGAATCATCACGAATGAAACATTGTCTCCTGGAAACATAATAATCAGTAATGTTATATTGGGTGTAATCTAGATGCAATTTTGTGAGTTCATATATAGTAAATAAGGAATTATTGCACACTGGTCAAAAAGTGCATTAAATCAAAATGAAGTTCAGATTCTTCAGTTTTCTTTCAAAACTAGTGCAGAATAGTTCATACAGTTATGGATTTTAGATTAAACTTATATTGCTGCTTTTACTGGGTTTTGTTTTTGCTAAGGCAATTTTGCTACAATATGCTCAACAGACATGACTCCTCTTTTCAAAACTGTCATAGTCAACAACAACAAAAAATCTTGCTATAAGACCAGGCAGAGAGCTTTGCATCATACAGTATTTTCAATTACCTGGCCAAAAAGAGATTGTAATTTTTGAAAAGGAATATTTAGATATTTCTGATGAATTTAGGCATTTTTCTATTTTTGGAATCCAACAGTGTTTATGGTGCTATCAAATGAGAGAGAGGAAGTCGGGGGAGAGGGAGGCACGCAAGAGAGAGGGAGCGAGCGAGAGTGTTACTTGTTGCTATTAAATAGACAATGTTAATTCTCTTGATTTCAAGTTTTAAAAGTGAGAGCAAATATGCAAATTTTCAGCACTATTTACGAGCATCACCACTATCTCCTTTGTTGCACAATTTATTCAAGTGAGTTGATTTGAACAACAACACGCCAACCGAAAAGGCTACTGGAATAATCAATCTTTCCTATATCTATATCCGTTGAAAATGTGGAACACATAGGCTCTTCATTCCGAGTAAAAGACTTTTCGAATGTTCTGTCCTTATTCTTTTAAGCATGTGCAACCGGATCAGTTAGCCATATCTTCTTTTTCTTAAGGTCTGTAAAATATAATAAAAGTAATAACTTGTGATTCTCCTTCTGACCTAGTTGCTATTTTATGTTATTATAACAGGATTAGAGTTTTCTTATTTATTCAGTCAGGTGCAGTTAAAAGTTGAGGTGTAGTTTTATCTGTAGCTATTTTGGTGAGGTCCTCAGGCACCTGATGTTCAGGGATCATCAATTTAACTCACTTCCTTCTGACTTTAACCTTGGAAACAAATCCAATTTTTTTCTGAGTGTTCTTATTGGTGTAATCTACAGGCAACAAAATATTTATGATCTTATGTACAGGGAGAAGTACAATGATTAAATTGTGCTGCATGGATTGTTAATGTATTTGTTAGCCAATGGTGCAGATTATATTTTCAACCTATCCTTCATTAAATTCAGATCTAAGATTTAAAAGTATATATCTACAGTGGACAGAATGTACAGCTGAGGCCAAATCATCAGATGAACATAATGTTTCTATTGAAGTAATTTCATATCAGTGGTAGATTTATTCTCAGGTCAATTACTATATCCACATCCATTATTTATGTTTCTTTTTAACTAACCCTTCATTAATTTATTAATTGACAAAAGCTTATAATTTAAAATGCCTTTCACTAGCCTTTCACTAACTCGATGCTCCATAAGAGCCCTTCAAACACCAAAACAGTTTCTCCCCCTTTTTTAACAGAAAGCATTAAACAACATATTAGATTAGAATAAAATGGATTTGGTAATTTTTGTTTGGTGTGTTGTAAGAATTAATCATTATATACTATGTTGTGTTATCCAAGACAATATTTGAAGCATAATATGATTTATTGGGGTAAAATATTGATTTTTGAACACAACAATTGTGTGTTTTGTTAATTTAAACTTAGGCTTCATCAGTATGTTTAACCCAACCTGTTCATCACTGGTTGCTGACTACCTGACTATGTTAGCAAAGAGATTGTTTGGCTACCTTCTTCAGCTTTCCAATGGGATAGATGATACTTATAGTTATGTCATGGATGAGATCTATATAAAAATGTCTTAGTGATAAGAAAACTAAAAGTAAATGACATATTGTAGCTGTCTTCTCAAAATTGTCACACCCAAGTGTCTATGAAGGGGGACGGTGTAAGTATAGCCCTAAGGCAGAAGTACACACTCTCTTCTGAATTCCAGATGCCACCCAAATTGTAGTTTTCCGTGGAATTATAGAAGCTATTTCAAATTACATTACCTACTCCAGAAATTGGGCAGAGCAGGAAGAATTTGCTATGCTTTTTTGAAATCTCAATGGAAGGGGAAAAGGTAATTCTGCCAATCCTTAATCTAAAAGAATTACTATTCCCTGGGACATTTGCGATACTTGAATTGAATGTTTCCATTTATTTTCAGTTAAAACAGCAGACTAATAGGAAAATATATGTAGTAAGTGAAAAACATACCAAGAAAATAAAAATCTACAAGAAGAAATAGGGTAGTACATGGGAATGGGTGGCTACTATTATAGAAAAATCTACAACCCATTTCAACAGATGACATTATATGACACATATTCAACAAAATGAAGTTGAGAAGATCGTACCAAGGTGAGTAGTATCTCTAAGGAAAACCTAGAGGTTAGAAGAGATTACTAACCTAGCAATATGTTACCATGTAAGAAAGGTTAATGTCCTTTCAAATTGCATTAACAACAGCATCATTTCCAAGACACTTGAACCAATAATATGACTTTGCTCAATCTAGATCACATTGATGTACTATTCTAGTTCTTATCAATACATGATAAATTGGAAGCAATTCAGGGAGAGCACAAATAGTGATAAAGTTCTAGAAGGGAAGATCTAGTTCTCACTGAGAGAAAGAAAAACTTAGGAAGATACTACTAGTTGTAGCTTCAATTACTTGAAGTTTAATTATTTATATGAAGTGAGATATATATGTACAGACATACATATATGCATACATACACTTAAAGTGCTCTGAATAGACCAGAACCAGTTCAAACAAATTATAAATTAATATAATATCCTTAACTCCCCTTTAAAAAAAATAACAGCTCCATAATAACTGTTTTGAAATATTAAAAGAATTACAGGAAATAAAATTAGTAGATCAGTTGCCAGTAAACAAAGAACAAGAGTTTGTTGAATAATCTCAGCCTTATAAAATTTAGTTATTGGTGGCTTCATAAAGCTAAAGGAGGCTGGCAGAAATATTGTCTTGATTCAAACTTTTAAATGGCTCTTATAAAAGTGGCTAGTATTGCAATCTGTTCATAATATAATGGGATTTGTATAGAAATAACTTCTCCATTTATTGGATTTTATTGGTTCTTTACCCTTTGTATGATTATGACCCCTTGCCAGATAAGAGTTATTGTTGCAGAAATAGTGTGAGTGCTTGGATAGTCTCAGTAACATGTGCTGGTTCATAAAATTAGCATTGCAGTGAATTTCCTACCATAATAGGATTCCACCAACACCATCAAGCATTTCCAATGTTTGTTCATGCTATTATTTCTTAAAAACTTAAATAAAGATATGTTAGGAATGCTTTTTTTATCGCTGGATGGAGAACTGGCTATCATGTAGAAACTCAAGGGGATGTACTTGATCCATTGTGAGGTCTGCAACTGAGAGAGAAAGTTAGCCCAAAGTTAACCATGGCTAAAGATGGACTTGTACCTGGGTCTCTTTGGTAGAATATCATCGATAGGACATTTAAGGAAAGAAAAAGTAAGACTGAGGCAAGGACAATTCTGAAATCCCTGGACTTCACAAAATAATCCAGCATTTAGCCTGAACTTTATTTAATTCTGTCCTGAGAATCAAGTCATCCTGAACATTGAGTCTGTTTGTATACAAACTTGATTGTTTGATGCAACCCTATAGTACATTTGGGTTTTTTTTTCCTCTTTAGGAATGTACAAACCAATGCTGTAATGCCACAACCTGTACTTTAAGGCCAGGAGCAGTGTGTGCACATGGACTTTGCTGTGAAGATTGCAAGGTGAATATTTGATCATTCTTCATTTGGTAGGGGCAAGATTTCATAGTAATGTTTGTGTTGGTTCATATATTCAAGGCTGGGGTGTTTGTGTTGGTTCATATATTCAAGACTGGGGTATGGGTGTGTTTTCAATAGAATTCTTTGTGTTCCTGTCTTATAATGTTGAAAAAAAAATTATTGAGAAGACTATTTTTTTTAGAAAGAAGCCAGCATATCTGCTCCCATAAGACAGTGTGTATTTTTTTAAATACCCTTTGCTGCTAGTATTAATAGATGGAGCCCTATATGTGTATGCCTACCACGGCAGAGTTCTCTGAGGTTTAAGATGTGTGTTTCTGTGTGATACAGAACATCAAAGGGCTGTGCTTGCATTTTAATGAGGAATGAAGGTAGGCCTTTGAAAGTAAGCCATAAACAATTCTGCAGTATATCAATGAGATGCATATAAAGTGCTCTTTCACCTCCCATGCTGTGTTTAATAGATGCCTGGTACAGAATCTTAGGAAGAGAGAAAGACAACTTTAGGCTGTAGCATAAAAGCCACAATATAATGCATTTTCTTCTTTGAAACTGCAGCCCCTTCTTTTTCCCTACAGCTGAGGCCAGCAGGGATTTTATGCAGGGCTACCAGTAATTCCTGTGATCTCCCTGAATTCTGTACTGGAAGCAATCCTCATTGCCCAGCCAATGTTTACTTGCATGATGGGCACTCTTGCTACGGGGTAGATGGGTACTGCTATAACGGGATGTGCCAAACTCATGAACAACAGTGCATCACCCTCTGGGGACCAGGTGAGCTTGAATACTTGAGTTTTTTTTTCTCTAGATATTTATTCGCACAAAAAAAATTAGCATTGACATTTGGAGGAGGCGTGTAATGATTTCTTACCTGTCAGAATTCATGATCCCAGAATAAATCTTTCCCCCTGCCAATCCTTTCCTCAAGCTGATAGTCAATGATGCATTCCTGTTGATGCAAGTAAGCTAGTGAAGGATACAAAGAATAGAATTAAAATATTCGAAGAATGGTATTTTCTAATTCATTAACCTCTTTGCCTTAGTGTACATCTACCTCTATTAACCTATTAAGCCTAAAGTTTTCTGGGAAGTGGTTGTTACCACATCATTCTTTCACCATCTCTTGCTTCCAGTTATATTTGGGGTACGTAGCTTCCAACCAGCATGGAGCTGTGCTTCCGACATATTGAATGACAGGTTCTAGGCTGGAGAAGGCTGGGTACATTCTCTCAGGCTTTCAGAAACATCAGTTACAGGTCATACATGTCAACATCTGTTTTGCCAAAATTAGCCAGGATTTTTCTTGCTGGGTCATAGCCATAAGTCTCACTTCAGACCTGTGCACATAGTTAAACATTACATGGAGATTCCTAGTAACCATCATTGTCCTTACTGGTATTACGTGAAAACAGCTGCGTCCTTTCCTGAACAAAGGTTGACTTGCTTTGCTTGAAGTTACTTAACTGTAAAAATGCAAATACTTGCCTTCCTCTTAGAAATAATTACTATTACGTTTGCTTAAGCACTTAGAGATTTCTGGGATGAGAGCCACTCTGTAAGTGCACAGCATTAACTCTGAAAACATAAGTCATAGTTGAAGATGAATTAGGATGAAATGGTGCCACCAAATGTACTTCCATCAATCCGGGAACCAACTTGAACCATTATCTGGCTTTTACTGATATAAAGTAATCTGAATCAAGAACAGAGGAAGTGCTTTAGAAAACCACATATCCATCCACTCCAAACTTTTTGCTGCTGTAGTTCTGCACCGTCCCTTTTCCAACATTTCAGTTATTTGTTACTTTTTTCTGCAGTCAATTCTTTTGACAATAGAGCAGTGCCAAATGGGGCAGTTAGACTGCAAAATAATGATTGAGAGTAGCAAGGTCCTAAAAAGGCAAATAGGTGATGAATTAAGAAACTTAATTAAAATAATATGATGTTACTTAGATTGCAAGAATCCTTCTGAGGGAAGGTCAGAAGAAAGATTCCAAGAATTAAGTAATTCCTTATTTTCTCTTCAATCAACTTCACTCTATAATTCAACTTCAATTCCTACAGCATTCACTAAAATGCATTTTTTTAAAAAAATCAGTTGCTGTTATTGCTAATGATGATGGTGAATGATGCTTTGCCGTATTGTACTTTTACTAATGGACAGGTAAGGCTCGAATTAGGGTTCTGCAGAAATTTGGATCTGAAGGGCAAAGTGTGATTCAGGGCATACGAGGCCACATGCACAGCTCAATTTGGGTTCCATTCAAGCTGCTTCTGCAACAAATATGCAATCCCAAGATAATAGACATTTGGTATAAGGCAGAGGTGGGATTCTACCGGTTCCCACCAGTTCTATAGAACCGGATGTTATGATTCTGCCCAGTTCAGAGAACCGGCAAATCATGGCCCTGGCTCGCCCCACCCCTTCCACTCCCAGCCACTTGCCTCTGATGAGGCTGAAGATATGCTGCTGGAGTTCCCGGGCTTTAAGCCTGGAACAAGAATCCCATTCTCTCCTCCCCACCACCTGTGCCCTATCCCATTTGGAAAATATTGAGTTTCCATGAGATAGATCGGAAGTGGCTGGTGTGTGTGTGTGTGTGTGTGAAATTAAGCCTTCTTCCTATAAAATCCATTCAGAAACAAAAGAGCAGATATGGTTTAATTCTGCTTCAGCCCAGATTGCTGGGAGAGAAAGTAGTTTAAAAGTATTATTTAATTGACTAATTCATTGGCTTCCTGGCACTGCTTGTAGTACTGAGGAGCTGCTTGCCTTTTAAAATCCAGCACTGCTTCCCCGACTGGATTTCAAAATAAAAGCCAAGGATCTCAATGCTACAAGAAGTTGTTCCAGGAAGCATTGCTGTAGTTGAACCAGGCTTTAAAGCATTTTAAAGTAGCCTGGAGCAAGTATCCCTTGGGGGGGACTTTACTCTTTAAAGCTGTGTCCTTGTGATGAAGGGGTAGTTTATATTGCATTTTATAGATTAATCCACCAGCAGAAAATAGCTAACATCCATTTGAGGTCAATCTATGCATTTAGCGAGGAGGAGGCGGCAATATTAAATCAGAGCCTTGGTACAAGGGGCAATCCAGTAGAAGTGTTTAGATGGTTCTGTCCAAGCAGAGGCATGAGCGTGGTAAGTATGGGATCTTATTAAATCAATTCATACAGAGACACAATGCTCAGTATCTTTAAAGTTGGTAATACTTTCATATTACTGACTTGGGAGTAATCAAATGATCGGAGCTCATGTTGCTTGGGGAATTCTGGGAATTGAAGTCCACATGGTTTAAAGTTGCTAAGCTTGAAAAACACTCAGAAGTACAACTTCTTGTGAGCCTGGGTTATTTTTCTGCATTTTGGGAATAAGGAAATTATCCTATGTGCCTGGTGCAGAGATGCAGCTGAAATCTAGTGAGATGCTAATTGGAAGGTTAAAGCAGTAGATACAGATAGACTTTGACTTACAACTATTTGTTTAGCCTCCATTTAAAGTTACAACAGCACTGAAAAAGGTGACTTATATTCCCTCCCCCCAGGGACTGACAGAGAGAGAGGGAGACAGAGAGAGAGGGAGGGAAAGAGAGAGACAAGAGACAGAGAGAAAGAGAGAAAGGGAGAATAGAGAGAAACAATATACACACAGAGAGAGAAAGAGAGAAGGAAAGAGAGACAGACACAGAGGGAGGGAAAGAGAGAGACAAGAGACACATACAGATAGAGAGAAAGAAAGAGAGGGTGGGAGGGAAAGAAAGAGACAAGATGGAGAGAGAGAGAGAGAAGAAACAGAGAGAGAGAGCAGGGAGGGAGGGAAAGAGAAAGAGAGACAAGAGACAGATGAGAGAAAGAAAAAAAAGGGAGAAAGAAAAAGAGATGAGAAAGAGGGAGAAAGAAAGAGAGAGACAGAGAGAGATACCTGTTTAAAAGAAAATAGAAAAATGGCTCTTTGAGTGTTTAAGGTTGCAGACCCTGGGTTAGGCAAACACCATGGTCATTAAGTGAACCTTGTGGTCATTAAGCAAACACTGTGGTTGTTAAACAAGTCCATTTTCCCCAATGGGCATTTTTAACTAGAAACCAGAAGGAATTGTTGGAAACTGGCAAAAAACATAGAAAACCTCAGTCACAAGACTGTGTTGGATCTTGTAACTGATCATAAGTGTGTGTGTGTGTGCGCATGCACACGCGCATGGTTGTCAAAACACCAAAAACAGGTCAAGTAGCTCTGGGGAGGTGAGTCATAAATTAGAACACTTGCTAAGCAACTGGCCATTAAGCAAGGACCACTTATATTTGGTTTGCCTGTCACATGACCACCAAGCCACACCTAGCCAGTCATACGACCGCCAAGCCATACCCAGCCAATCACATGACTACCAAACCCTGCCCAGTCAGCAAGCCACATCTACCCAGTCACATGACCACCAAGCCACACCCACAAATTAGGCCACACTCACAGAACTGGTTGTTAAGAAATTTGAATCCCACCCCTGGTATAAGGGATTATAGACAGGTAAGACCTACTCTTATACAATACAAATTGTATTATGCCCTTCAAATTTAGATATTTCATCGCCTAGTATAAATAAAAGTCAAACAAAAGTTCAGCTACAGCTACTGAAACACTGTTAATGAAATGCTAGAAATGCTGTGCTAACAACTGCTGAAAAACACATGGAAACCTAGTGGTTTCTTCTTTCAAACTCCCAGCAGTTTTGTTAGCTGTTAAGCAAAAACAGAAAAAAACAAAAATTAATTTGTGAAGAAAAGTCCCATGTAGCCAATCGTTAAATTATCTGAGAAATCCTTTTGCTTCTAGAATAACAGAGTTGGAAGGGACCTTGGAGGTCTTCTAGTCCAAGCCCCTGTTCAGGCAGGAAACCCTATATACCATTTCAGACAAATGGTTGTCCAGTCTCTTCTTAAAATCTTCCAGTGTTTGGAGCAGTCACAGCCTCAAGAGATAAGTTGGTCAACTGATTTGAGTGTTCATTTTTTGTTCTAGGTTGCTTCTCTCCTTGATAAATTTCCATCCATTGCTCCTTGTTCTTCCTTCTGATGATTTGAGAAAAAGGTTGACCCCCACTTCTGTGGCAGCCCCTTAGATATTAGAACATTGATATCAATTAATTATCCAATTAAAGACATACAGTAATTTCAAAATGTCCATTATGCTCCAAAATTTCTACTAAGTTTTACAGTTGTTCTCATGATTTAAAAATGTTTCAAATTGTTGGATACCATACCATTAAATCTTATTTTTTTAAAATAACATTAACATAATTTATTCCAATAAAATATCATAGTAGAAAGAAAGTTTTATAGTGCTATAAAAAATCCCATGTTAAAGAAATATTTCATAGATTGAATTCAAGACAAGAATCTGTGTTACATAAGAAAAATCCTATTCTTTTTTTCCTGCAATCTCTGCCTTTAAATTAAAATGAAATTTTTAAATACTTCGCTTCTGTAAAGTTGCATTGCCATAGCTGTGACCTATTTATAGCAATATGATTGATGGTTATGTAGAGTAGAATGCATTTGGATATTATCTACTGCTTGTATTGGCATTTCCAGGTGGTGCTTAGATATGCAGATAAATCCATTGGTGAGAGAAACATTGATTTTTCTGAGAGAAAAGAAGCCTCAACCTTTAACAAAATGGGACTTTCTCAGACTGCAAATAAATGAATTTTTGCTTTAAACTCTTGAAATCAAATGGGGTTCCTGTAGATGTTTTAATGGGAATGGGATAATTAAATACTATCAC